AAGTGGCTTTAGCTTCTTAGCGCTGTGCTTTAATCCACTGTGCCACCAGGGAGGGCCCAGCTTTTCTATCCTTTTTAAAGATTTATTTATGCATATAAGAACTGCAGTGTAGGCCAAAGATGCAGAGAGTGAGAGAATTTACCAGAGACAGAGTGAGGAGCAGAACAGGTAGATCTACTGACACTGCTGAGGGGAACAGCCCGCAAGACAGGAGAGGTCTGCTGTGCTATGTGGGTCACCTCCCTGGCTGGGCGACAGTGGCCGCTGATAGCTTAATGTGCTGAGGTTTAACCCTTGTGCCACCAGGGAGGTCCTGCTTTTCTATTTTAATGGCAGAGCACTTCAGTTTAGCCTCAACATTTCTTAGGAGTAATTTGAGAACTATTACAATAGAAGATCATGAATTTTTGGAAGACAGGGACCAGGTCCTATCTGCCTCTATTTTCTATTCTACCCTACAATTTATAAAATTGATGATTTGTTAGAATTCTGATTTCAATCTAGATAGAGTAATCGATATCAAACTATGAGAGCGAGACAAAATATATGTAACATAATGGTGTGCCAGTTTTGCCAGAAAACCAACACTGTGCTCTAATTCTTAAAAAAGGAAGCTCATGAGTTAGCCCTACATTCACCAAGACTTCTCTCCAATTGTATTTTAAACCACAAAACAGTAAAGTTTCATGTTATTAGGGAATGAAGAACAAAAACAACAAGATAGTATTATTCTCCTACCAGAGTAGCCAAACTCCAGATCAAAAGCTGACAGAGATTCAGAGCAATAGTAACTCACATTCATTGCTGGTAAGAAAGCAGTTTCAGCAGTTTCTTAGAAAACTACACATACTCTTACCAAATAATCAATGATCCCTCTCCTTGATATTACTTAAATGAACTGAAACTAATGACCACACTAAGAAAGAGTCATGGAAAGCCGGGCTCTCCTTGGTGGTGCAGCGAGTTAAAGCTCAGCACTAAGAAGCTAAAGCCACTTTCACATGAGTTCAATCCCTGCATGCCCCAGAAGTGACCCACATGGCGCTGCAGACCTCTCCTGACCCACCCGCTGCTCCCCTCAGCAGTGTACTTCATCAGTTGGCATGTTCTGCTCCCCACTCTGTCTCTGGTGAATCCTCTCACTACCCCTGCACCTCTGGCTTGTACCCCAGTTCTGTTTGCATAAATAAATTTCTAAAAAAACAAAAAAAAGTCATAGAAAGCCATGGAAGAAACTTAAAAAGCAAATCACAATATGAAAAAAAGGCAACAATCTAAAAGTGGTTGCATGTTATATGATTTCAATTATATAGCATTCTGGAAAAGATTAAATATGGATATATTTTAAAAATCTGTGGTTGCCAGGAGTGGGGGTAAAAGAGGAATGAATGGATAGAGCTCAGAGGACTTTTATGGTAATAAACTATTCAGTATGATCCTATTGTGGTAGATTGTAGATACAGTGTCATGAGTGAATCCTAATGTTAAACATGTACTTTGGTTGATTATGATGAGTTGATGTAGTTTTATCAATTGTAAAGAAAAATATGCTACTGGTATAGGACATTAATAGTGCATGTACAGGAATGGGGATTATGTGAGAATATTTCTGTATTTTATACTTAATTTTGCTATAAGTCTAAACTATTTTGTAAAAATCAAGTCAATTCACTTAAAGGGGAAAAAACAGGTAAATTAGTGATGAAGAAAATCAGAGACAAATTTATAAATGGTAGGAAAAGGAGAATTTCAGATTCAAGTATTAAGAGCAGAGGGAAAGCCAAAGCAGCAGCTCCAAAAATTTGCATGAAATACTTTCTGGATGATTTCTAAGCTGTATATGAGCAACTAAGATCCTACGAGTTGGTGGAAAAACAGCAACAGAGGCTTAAGAGAATGCATGTGCTAGCGAAACAGTAGCATTCAAACTCAGCCAAAAAAAGAGATCCAGGTGGTTGAAATCGATGAAAATAGTAAGAGTTGTGCCTTAGAAGAGGAAAAACTTAAATAAATCCACACTAATAATGCCTAAACAAGCAAACATACAAAATCAAACCAATATGCAAGTAATTTAACCTTCAGAGGGAGATAACGTGATGCCCAACATCTGTAGGCTGTACACAATGTGCAGCACACAATTTTTAAAAATCCTAGGCATGCAAAGAACCAGGAAAAATAAGCCAACAAACAGAAAAGGCAGACAGTAGAAGCAGCAATGATCCAGATACTGGAGCTATGAGATAAGGACTTCAAAATAACTAATATTTTTGAAGAATATGGTCAAAAAATTTTAACACACAATTAGATTTAAGGGGAGATTTCAGAGTGGCAATACATAATACCTGAAATTCAAGAATTCAAAAGACTGGCACAGCCAGAAACCAAGATTAATACATTTAAAAATAGAAGGTATCTGTTGCACCAAAAGAAAAAAGGACATATGCACAAAATAGAGCATGAAGGATACTGTCAGATGGTCTCAAACACGTTAAGTGGAATATGAACGGTATTGGGAGAGACAGATTGTGAAAGTAGCAATATTTAAAGAAATAGCAGCCAAGAATTTTTCAAATGTGGTGATTCTACAGATTCAAGAACTCAGTAAATTAAAAAAAAAAGCATACACTTTGTATAATATAGTCAAACCTCTAAATTTCAAAATAAAAAGTCTTAAAACTAGCCATCACTTTCAGAAGGACAAAATTGAGAATAATAGTTTAAAATTTGGAAAAGGAAAAAACAAACTTGCCAAACCAGAATTTTTCAAATATGAGTGAATTAAAGACATTCTCAGATCAACATCTGAGAGAATTCACTGCTAGCAGAGAACTATTCCAGGCTATAACAGAGGAAATTACTCAGGGTGGAGGAAAATTGTACTAGATGGAAACACAGAAATACACAATAGGAATGAATACTGAAGAGGGAATAAATCTAAATAAAAGCTGTCTAAGACCTCTACAGCAAAAACTACACTGTGGGAAGCTGAACATATTCACAAATAAGAATGCCAGCACTGTTAAAATGGCAGCACCACCAAACTTATATGTACATTCAAAGCAAGCCCAATCAAAATTTCTGATGGCTTTTATGGATGTGTATGGAAATTGACAACTTGTTCTAAAGTTTATATGGAAAGGTAAAAGGCCTAAGCCAGCCAAGAAATCTTGAAGAATAATGAAGTTGGAGGAAATATATTGCCAGATTTACCCTACAATACACAGAAATCAAAACTATGACATTGCTCTCATGCTTCTAAGGTCCTTTGTACATGCACCTGTTACAAAACTTTCATGATATTGGTAGGTACTGCTTTATAACCAGGGTTGAAGAGTCGTTAACCCTCACTCTGCATATACATGTACATAGTAAATAAATATATGTTGGTTAAACTGGCTTTCTTCTTTTAGATGCTCCAGTTCCAAAATCAAAAGATACATAATGAGCTGAGATCTGACTAAAGTCTCCTAGAAAATATCAGCTATAATTATGAATAGTAGTTACAGCATATTTTCCTTCCCTGGATATAGTTACAGAATGCTATCTCCAAAAGGATTTGACTAATACCCACATCAAAGTAAATGGAAAACTACAAGTGTGGGAGGGAAAGAGACAAAATCAGAAACAAGAGCGAGCTATAGTAGAATCTTGGCTCTTTTTGCACCTGAATTCCAGGTGTGAGTCATTTGCAATGAACTTGGAATGAGCACTTCCTCACCTACTCCTGTGAAGAGGACCAGAACTCAATCAACAAAACACAGTAGCTGAAATTGTCTTATGTAAAATGAAACAATCCATTTTAGAAGTCTAAATCCAACCCAATGAGATTATAAATTGCTTTTTCCTCCATGAAAATTCTAACTGCTGTGCTCTTTTCTAATATGGTCTTAGTCCACAAGAGTCCTCACACTGTTTCAATAAACCACTTAATAGGCAACAAGTAGATAAAACTCCAAAGTCTTTGCTAGGAAATAATCAGATGCAAAAAAAAAAAACATGAGGGGGGAAAGGGAGAGAGAAGCAAGTGTTAAGCCTTTGTTCATCTATTCATCTCTGCCTTGATTCAGTCATGACTTAGCTGGCCTCCTTTCCTCTAATTTTACCTCCCTTCAAAAGATAACCAGGGATGAATTTTCACAAGTATGACACTCTGCATTCCTATTTCAAGTTATCAATGATTTCTGTCACCTTCAGTCAGAAATAGAATCTTCATAATTGGGATTTCTGAGGTTCTTCCTATCTGGAAGAATATTATATTTTGTGTTTGTGCAGTTTTCTTTGCCCTGAACACTCTGGAGACTTCTATAATCTTTTAAAACACGATTAGTGTCAGTGATTCTTGAGGGCTACCCCAACGCCCCCAATTTGATCTGAAGACCCCAATTCTGTGACAATGACAACCTTAACTTCAAGACCAATGTCTGTGCTCTCCTTAAGAATATGCAGGTAAGTGGAAAGCAAGAGTTGGTGGAATTGTATATGTACGAAAATACCTCTAACTTATTCTAAGAACTATGTTGAACACCTGATAGCTACCAGAAAGGAAGGTATATAACTTAAAAGATTGCCCTGTGGGGGCCTCCCTGGTGGCCCAAGGTGTTAAAGTTTCAGAACTATGACACTATTGGCAGTCACTGCAGCATGAGATCGATCTCCAGCCAGGGAGGTGACCCATGTGGCACAGCAGACCTCTCCGATCTCACCCACTGCTCCTCTCAGTGTTTTTCAGTTAGTCCACTGTTCTGCTGCCCACTCTATCTCTGGTGAACCTCTCTCAATTAGCCCTCTCCTCCAGACCTCTGGCTTACACCACAACTCTTGTATGAATAATTAATTTTTTTTAAGACACAGCAACAAAATCTCCAAGTCCTAACTTGTATTCAGCATAGTAACTTGAGCAGGCAACTTGAGTACTCCTTCCCCCAGTACTCCTGCCACCAGCCACCATTCATTAGTCTCTTGCTTTTATTCTCTTATTTCTTATCTCCCAAGCCCACGAGCTTAGGCCCAAGCCCATCCACCCTTACATTTCAGATTTGCCCACAATAAGGTCAGGGTCTCCATCTTTTACTTCATCTCATTCTTACTATGTTTATTTTCCGCCCCAAATTTTATCACCAATCTGTTTCAGCAAGTTAGATTCTATGACTTTTTACATAACAACATCTTGAAATGTCCACAAGAACAAAAAGTATAAATGATTAACATTTAAAGCATTGTCTTCCATCTTAAGTATTGCTCACTACTCAGAAATGTCCCACTACTGTGCCATGCAAATGTACAGGCCACAGAAATCACCATTTGTTTGTCACATTCTGGATTAGTTGCCCTTAGGAAAAGATAAAACTTTCACTTACTTGGTTATTTCCTTGGGAGCTCCCTGCTGCTCGAGACTTTAATGTCTGGATTTTCTCAAAGACCAGGTTGACTTTCCTTTTAGTAGCATCATCATTGTCAGTGCTTCTAGAAATTAAAGGCAGCAGGAAAAAAAAAAAGTGAGGGGACAGCTGCTGCTCTCAGCATGTCTGTGTGCCATGACACAGGAAACAAGCCCTTTAAGAAGGTAAGTTGCAAGACACCTGTTAATTCTGGCTGCAGGCAAAACCCACACATTTTTCTTCACATAAACTACTAGAAGTTATCACTCGATTTGGGCGAGGATTCCCATTTCCAAACATGTGAAAGGGCCACAACAATATTATAAATAGGTTTGAAGAAAAGAAACCCAAAGAAGATCTAATTATGTGTTGTTTGATTCAAATGACTCATATTCATTAAGACATTTCTCCTCTTTGCTTCCTTGAACACGCACACACACATTATACTTTTAAATCTTACACCGAGAATGATATGCAGTCATCTTAAAGTGTTTAGTGAATATTTAAAAAAATAAATCTCCCAAGCCGTGACTGTCCACACAGCAGACCTTTTGGTCTAGACATTCACAGGTAATGATCAGATAAAGCTTATTAACTTCTGCCACACACCTCTGACATGCAGGGGGAAACAAAAGATTTTAAATATTTCCTTAAATAGGCACCTCCTGCTAAAGTCGATCTCACCAGTCAATAATACATCATGGGGTAAAAGAATTTAGAAAGAATTTTTAAAATAAAGTTATTCTACTTCAATCCTAATATGGTAATATGGTAAAATCCTTCAGAGAGTGAGAGACTAATAAGTATGTCTTAGAATAATCTCTTTGGTTATTTTCCAAAAGCCCCTCTATATAATAATTGGAACCTATTTTGTCAGCTCTTTATTACTGACAAATGATTGTGAGGCACAATACAAGAATAAAAAATGTTTTGATTCCCAGGAGTATTTGCCAAGTGACTTTTAGCTATGTCAAGCATAAAGGTTTTCTTTCCTTCTTAATCATATCTGATGAGAGAAGTGAAACAGAAACTTCACATTCCTGGCCTACAATTCCAGCAGTTAGTATCTAAGTAAGTGAAAACCAGATTACTCGAGCTCAGCCTCCAAGATAAGCTGGTGGAAAGCAATGCTTTTAAGTGAGTCATACTTGCTTTCAAAGTAATGGAAGCAGGGGCTTCTGGCCAGTGTCAGTTCTGGGAAGGGGAGGTGGTGTTTTATATTTGGAACTTCTTATTCCTGGGTTCATGGAAGACCTCAAGGTGATAGCAATTCAAAACTGAACAGTAAGCATTCTTCTTATGTGAATTTGTTTTTGTAACAGAAAAGGGCCATTTAAAAAATACATTCATTAGGACTTTTGAAGTACGATTTCTTTCTGTATCCTTCCCTCCCCAGCACTTTGCCCACCACTATCCAAGACTTACATCCTTTTCTGAAAAACCCAGTCTTAACCCTCAAATGGCTCACACCAGGAAGGAAGGTAGAACAAAACACAGACCTTAGAAAAGGAAATGAAGAGCCCCACTAGAAATGCCAGCATTTAACTTCCTTAAAGAAAATCACTAACCCTTCTTTGAGGTAATTGTAAAGTATCTGCTTGGCGGTCTCCTCATTGGTTTGTTGAGTAAGCTCTTGCTGACCTTTTAATAGATCCGGTGTGGCCTGAAACATAATGTATGTTATTAGAACACAAGAGAAGTTTCTAGAAGAATGCAAAAGTCTGAAGCCTGAAGCAGGAATATTCCCACTCTCCAAAAAAAAAAAAAAAAAAAATTCTTCACTCACACACAACTGGTTCTATCGTCTTAAGCAAGTTCCTTAACTTCTCTTCACCTCAATTTCCTCATCTGTAAAACTGTAATTAATAGGACCTACTTCATAGGTTTGGTGAACTCCTAAAACATATAACAAATAGTGCCTGGCACTTACCAACCATATTATCATTTTTATCATTATCATTATTTTTTATTATTATTACCAAACTGTAAATGTGTCAAATAAATTTCATCACTGAGGATTAACCTAATTTCTCAGACCAGATACTAACCCAGTCATCCAATTTCATGATGGACGTCTGGAACCTCTGTGTAGAAGTAAATGCTCATGGTTTCAGATTTCGAATCTATAAACAGCAACATCAAATCTACAGTAACAAGTTGCTTTCTAGACAAGACCATAAGGAGCATCTAGCTGGACTTGAATTAGTTTAGAATGCCATACAACTGGCAATAAGACATACTGTATAAGATGAAACTTTTAAAAATTCAGATTTACACTTGCTGATTTAAGATATGCAGAAGGATTTGGCTCATTCACAAGGAAGGGGTTGGGGGGAGGGGAGGGAATACTTTATTACCTGAGTATTTGAGGTGGAAGCAAATGTCTTCACAGAAATCCTCTTGGCACCAGCATCAGGAGAAGTGACCACCCCCCGACTCTGCAACATCAGGGTAGCCGTGGTGGTTTTGATCTCCTCTTCCTTTTTATTCTTAGCTGGAAGGGAGGATGCGCGCACTGACCTACTTTCTTGGCCAACTTTGTTTTCCGGAGCTTTCCCATCTTTGTTCTGCTGAGCAGGCCTGGGGGGAGCCCCCTGGATGCCAGGCATCGCTCCATGCAGCTTGGCAAAAGCGCGCCCTGCGCCCTGCCTCCCTCGGAGCTCAGGGGCCACAGGTCGGTGTCCACACAGCTGGGATGGTCGGAGCAGGTGTTCGCTGGATTTGCCCAGGTTCCTGCTAAATTCACTTAGGTACTCCTTGTTTCCTTGGAGACCAAAAGGAAAGGCACTGTCCACGCTTCGGGACCTCTTCCTGTCTTCTGGATCAATTCTGTTTCGTTTCCCAGACCTGCCTCTTCTCTGCAGCCCAGGTTTTTGGTCAAATTTTTCAATTAACTCATCCACACCAGGAATTGACCCCGTATCAATATCCCTCCCGGTTCCTGGCAAGAAGGGGATGTAGCGTCTATTTTCATGACGATTCACGTTGTCCGCATGGATGGCGCATTCTTGATCGTCCAGTAAAAATCTGTACAAGGAGTTGGCCGAAGTGGGGGTGGTGGACGACGACGAGGATCTCCGAGACCGAGCCCCGTCTAGGACCGGCCCCGCTGAGTCTTGTCGTCGGAAGGGAAGCACATCAGGCCTGTTTTTCTTGGCTTCCGGTTGGGTGTTTGGGCTGTGGCTGCCCAAGGGCTTCCCATTAGAAATAAGCGCCTCCTCCACGACCCCCTCCTTGTTACAGCTCTGGACGTTCACGCACACAGATGTCTGCTTTTTGGGGTCTTCTATGACCACCGAGCTGCACAAACGAATGGCTGTTACACTGGATTTGGTCAGATCTTCCAAAGGAGGGCTGGCCTGCTGGGAACCACTGGATTTTGGAAAGCAAGCCCAGGCTTTCTTACTGTCGGTACCTTCTTCCGTTAAAGTTTTTAGCCAATTAGTCTCAGGAGGCTGGTGATTTTGCAACTCATTCTTTTCTGGATCATAGGGCTGCAAAAGCTCTGGGTGCCTCTGGAAGTTCAGCAGGTGGGATGGCTTCATTGAACCTTCTTTGTGTTCAACAATTCCATTCTTGCCCTCAAAGAAAGAGGGTTGTTTCAGATTTCTTATTGGGCTGGGCTGAGCATATGGGTTCTCCGGCAGCTGCAGTTCTTCTTCACTGTTCTCCTCTAGCACGGACCCATTGCTGGAATGTAGAGGCAGTTTATTTATCAATGGAGATGGAAATGAGGGCCCGTTTTCAGAAAAAGATGTGCCTGCCAGACATCGTTCTGTATTATTCAAGACTATGTAGGGGTGGCCATCAATTCCTTGTACCCGAATACTGACACCATAGGAGCCTGCCTTTGAGTGCTGAGCATTCCTTGACTTCTTGGTTTCATCACTTTCCAGTCGCAGATGGACACCGTATTCTTGCTGCACATGTTGATATTCACCGAAATACAGCTCCATGGCTCACTGTTCTCACTACCAGGAAAAGAGGGGGGAAGATGGCATAAGGTGAGGATCACATCTATTTAAATGAAGGTTATGAGGGGGAAATTTCCCAGTTTGAGGGAAACAAAATTTTTTATTTTGTTAAAGATATATTTATTTATGCATATAAAAGCCGGGTCTAGGCCATAAGTGCTGGGGGTGAGAGGACTCACCAGGAACAGAGTGGGGAACAGAACAGGCAGACTGACTGAAATACACTGCTGAGGGGAGTAGGAGGGGAGACAGGAGAGGTCTGCTGCACCAGGTGGCTCAGCTCCCTGGCCGGGGATTGAACTCATGCTGTAGTGGCTGCCAATAGCTTCTTAGTGCTAAAACTAACCCCTTGCACCACTAGGAAGACCCCCCCCCCCCAAAAAATAAACATTTTAAATAGTAAGAGCATTTGAGAACCAAATGCCACCCAAACAAGCCTTTCTGGCTGTCCGAGCCCACATGAACGTTGTGCTTGTCAACTTTGGGCTTAAACCCTGACCTCAGGCTGGACAGCTGGTATAATGACCTGACACCTCTCATTATTCTGTTTTTAGCTGACAGGTTTTTCTGGTTGCTTTATTCTTCCTTACTTGGTTTCCTCACATGTTAAGCTATTTATTTTTAAGCAATAGGGTATTCCAGTTACCAGCATTTGAGAAGGTACTTTTCCATGAAAATAACTGAGTTAAGACCCAAAAAATTTATGTTCACCATTTACATGTTGTTCCCTATACTGTAAATTTTCTTGTCCAAACAACATCTTCAACCATATTTATGCACAGATTTGCTTTGACATCTTCATCACTATTTGTTATACTGTTAAAAAAATATTTTCACTCTAAGGGATTGGTTTGCAAGATAAACAGTGAGAGTAAATGATGAAAAATAGTTTTCACCATTTTTTCTTACCAAAAAGTTCAAGTAACATGGACTTGAAAAGTACTATCTAAAGAAACTGTAGACTCAAGAGTATTTATTTTGTAATCAGTCCTAATTGCAAGAATACTAGATTTCCCCTCTATCACATGTGGCCACCGTTGTCAGAGACAGCACATGATCACAGGTGGCCCACCCACCCTATACTCTAGGTCTCCCACAGAAATCCACACAGAAATACTCCCATAATGGCCTTTTGGTTTCATTTCTGTTCTAGAGTCAATCTAGTAGCCTAACTTCCAAGAATAGTATCTTTTATATATATATA